TATGGAATATTTATTACTGGCTTATACAGAAAATAAACAAGCAGGAGAGTGGACAAAGAGTGGAGAGGAGAGACTTTTAGAGGTGCTTTTTGTTGAAACTTTAAACCGGACTCATTACGGACAGTTTGCTGAATTTCATATTATTTTGGAGTGAAGGTGTCAAGATGGGAGGAAAAGGGTGGAACGGGCGGTTGGTGCTGGTGTGCGTCTCTTTGGCGAGCCTGGCTGCTGTCACACAGGCAAAGACGGTGAAATATCAGACATTTGAGGAGGACGCACCGGGGACAGTGATTGGAAACTTGGCCAAGGACATCTCCTCCTCAGCCTCCTCCTCAGGCGGCTCCAGGAACAATTTCAGGATGATGAAACAGTTCAACTCGTCTTTCATCCGGCTGAGGGAGAGCGACGGGCAGCTCAGCATCGGGGAACGGATAGACCGAGAGAGGATCTGCAAACACATACTGCACTGCCTCATCGCCTTTGACGTGGTCAGCTTCTCCAAAGAGCAGTTCAAACTCATTCATGTGGAGGTGGAGGTCAAGGACATCAACGACAACTCCCCCGAGTTTCCCCGGAAAGAGTCGAGCATGGAGATCTCCGAGAACACGGCGGTGGGCACGCGGATCCCGCTGGACTTCGCCGTGGATGATGATGTTGGCGTGAACTACATACAAAGCTACCAGATCTCCGTCAACAGCCACTTTTCAATCGACGTGCTGAGCAGGGCCGACGGGGTTAAATATGCGGAGCTGGTGCTCATGAAGGAGCTGGACCGGGAGACGCAGGCTTCTTACGCGCTCGAGCTGGTTGCCATGGACGGTGGCAACCCGTCCCGCACCGGAACCACGCGCATAAACATCAAGGTGAAAGATTACAACGACAACAGCCCAGTGTTCGACAGGAACAGCTTCTCCGTGGACCTGCCCGAGGACGCACCGGTGGGCTCCCTGCTGCTGGACCTGAACGCGGAGGACCCGGACGAGGGGCCAAATGGGGAGGTGGTGTACGGGTTCGGTAACCAGGTGCCCACAGAGATCCGACAACTCTTCAAGGTGGACCGGAAGACTGGACGGCTTACTCTGGAGAGCCCCATTGACTTTGAAAGTAAGAACACATATGAGTTTGACGTCCAGGCCACCGACCTGGGTCCGAACCCGAGTCCGGCCATCTGTAAAATCGTAGTGCAGGTGCAGGACGTTAACGACAACGCACCGGAGATATCCATTACCCCCATGACGTCCATCACGGCCGGAATCGCGTACATCACGGAGGCTGCGGCCAGAGAGAGCTTCGTGGCTCTGGTCAGCACCTCGGACAGAGACTCTGGCGCTAACGGGCAGGTCCACTGCACGCTGTACGGACACGACCACTTCAGACTGCAGCAGGCGTACGAGGACAGCTTCATGATTGTGAGCACGAGCCCTTTAGACCGGGAGAAAATCCCAGAGTATAACCTGACGGTGGTGGCGGAGGATCTAGGCTCGCCCCCCTTCAGGACCATCACCCAGTACACTATCAGGCTGACGGACGAGAACGACAACGCGCCGGTGTTCAGCAAACCTGTGTACGAGGTGGCGGTGGTGGAGAACAACGCACCGGGCGCGTACATCACAACAGTGGTGGCGCGCGACATGGACCTCGGGTCAAACGGGAAGGTCAGCTACAAACTGTCGGACACATACTTCATGGGCTCCCCCATCTCCACCTTCGTGTCCGTGGACCCCGCCAGCGGCTCCCTGTACGCGCTGCGGAGCTTCAACTATGAGGTGGTGAAGCAGCTGGAGCTGCGGATCACGGCCAGTGACGGAGGCTCCCCACCCCTGTCCGGGAGCGCGAGCGTCTATGTGCGGGTCGTTGACCAGAATGATAACGCGCCGGTCATCACCCAGCCGCCGCTCAACAACGGCTCCGCCGAAGTCCTGCTGCCCCGGGACGCACCGAGCGGCTACGTCATCACCCGGGTGGAGGCGCGGGACGCAGATGAGGGCGTGAACTCGGAGCTGTCTTACGGTCTGGCCACCGGTGAACCCTCCGTGTTCTCCGTGAACAAAGTCACGGGGGAGATCTACCTGAACCAGGTGCTGAGCCACGACGTGGACGAAACCCTGAGCGTGACCGTCACAGTGAGCGACAACGGGAGGCCCGCGCTCACCTCCACCGCCACGCTCCACTTTCTGATCATCGCGGGCTCCCCACCGAGCGACAGGACGGTGTACCAGGCCGGCAGCGGGGACGAGACGCACGCGCAGTGGGACCTGTCCGTGGTGATTATCGTCGTGCTGGCGGGGAGCTGCACCCTCCTGCTGCTTGCCATCATCCTCATCGCCACCACCTGCAACCGACGCAAACGGGACAAGAGTGGAGAGGACAGCGACTCTTACGGAGAGAAAGGCACGCTGGAGAGGGGCAGAAACCACGTGGGGGACAACCCGCTGCTGCCTCTGCACGCGGCAGGTGCGGGAGAAGCGGGAGGGTTTGATGGACACTCGTACAGCAGCCAGGCCGGAGGGTTCACCTCGGCTCACCCCGGGGGCATCGACATGTGCTCGGCCTCAGAGGACGGCAGCGAGGTGCCCTGTGTGTACGACTCAGACTCAAACAGCAAGCTCCGGGGCAACAAACACGAGGTGAGAGGCACCTTTGAGGGAACAAAAGGGGTTGGGGAGGGGAGGTGTAGCAATTTGTTTTCATGCAACAGAGTCTATAACCCGTGTCTTCTCTCTCTCCTCCTGCAGGGTTACTCCACGCTGCCCGGATATGGGAACGGTAAAGAGGCAGTCAGGCCCATCACCATCTGGAAGGGAAACTCTTACACCACCATCTCCGCCCGGGACCCCGCCTTCAGCGGGAAAGACAGCGGCAAGGGGGACAGTGACTTCAATGACAGTGACAGTGATGTCAGCGCAGACACCCACCTCAAAAAGGATGGAGTTGTTGTTCCTCCCATGGGCGGACAAAATGGTAAGAAAAACACATTTGATATTACTATACCTAGGCTGCATAAAATGATGTCACTGTGATGCCAAATCTAATACCTCTTGTTACTCTCTTCCAGCTCTGTGGGCGTGCACCAGTGAATGTAAAGTCCTGGGTCACTCAGATCGCTGCTGGAGCCCCTCAGCAGTGAGAGCCAACGCGGCCCCCTCTCCGGCCCCAACCCTGTCCTCCTTTAGCAGCCTCTCCAAGACTGCATCCCTGCCCCGGGACCCCAACCGCAGAGACAACTACTACCAGGCCCACATCCCCAAAACAGTGGGCCTGCAGAGTGTGTATGAGAAGGTGCTGCACAGAGAGTACGACTACGTCTTGGTCACCCCACCCCGGCCTGTGAGGGTGCAGGAGATCAGTGAGGTTACCCTCCCTGTGTACACCCCAACCCCAACACACTGCCCTAACGATGAAGAGTAAAAATGACTCTGCGCGCACACACACCTGAGCTCACTCTCAAAGAAATGTATAAAGTTTTAATTTATGATCAATGACAATGACAATAGTGTAACTTTTGTAACTGTGGAGAGTGTGCATCCAAAAGTTTAACTCCTAATATTTCTGTGTTTCTTTTTGATTGTAAAATCCACATTTGATGTCCATTCAATCACTTTATGAGACATTTTTCTGGACATGAAGTGTATCATATGCAAGTTTTGTACATACAGAGATTATATTTTTTATAAAAGTAATAAAAAAGTAAAGATATGTAAATATAAATTGTAATTATTGATCTTTAAGCACGCTGATTATTTAAAAAATGGCCCCAGAAACTGTGCAGTTAAAAGGGCTGGTGAACCCAAGATGTATCAAGTTGATAACTAATGTATGGATTTATTTGAATGCAATAATGTGTAATTGTACAGATTATTTTCTATCATCGCGGTATTCTGAGAAGAAATAAACTTTGAAATACTGTTCTGAAAATGCGAGTTGTGTGTTTGTGTAAGGAGATGATGCCGGTGTGCTGAGCAGCATGTTTGTGCAGGAACATCAGTCAGGTAGAAACGAGTAAAAACCAACAGGCGTCGCTGTTATTGCAGCAGAGAGAGCCTGTCCTTGCAGCCCACCGGAGAAGGTCAGTTAGTTTTTTCTTTTGAGAACATGATTTTTTTCTGGTGAGATGCCAGAACAGTCGCCAAGGTTTTCCAGCAAATCACTCTTTCTCCCCGTGCATAGTAAGATAAACCCGCCATCTTTACTTTTGCTCATTTTCACTGACTTGGTAAATGTATTTTTGGCGGGATTAGAGCAAGATAATCAAAATCTGCTTCTGTTCGTGCAACATACATTTTTCCTTCAAAAATATGCACAAAGAAGAGACGCACATGATAAGCATGTCCTTGCGTAAAGACGCATCCGCTGCTCGTCTCCAAAAACAGCTTACAAGCAGGAGAGGAAGTTTAACTGAGGATACGTTTGATACGCATCCAAACTCAGGTGATTCTTGTCAAAGAACATGAAGTCCTTGTGAGCAAATCTTCCTGCTATCCTGTCAGGATGTTTTTGTCGATCTGCCAAATGCGCACGGTGCGCCTCTTACGTAATCTCCCCATTATTATTCACGGATTGAGGGCATTTCTGCAGAACAGAAATTCAATTCTGGAGTCAAACACAGAGGAACAAGAGGCAAGTCTGTCCAACAAGATGCCGTTTTGTTCCTGCGCACATTGATGTAAAATGCGCACTGTCTACCAGCTGGAGAAAACACGAGACATTCCACCAGAGTCACCTTTGACCTGCAACCGTCTGAGGGAGCATTGAGAGAGAAGGTGGTTTGGAGGGAGAGAGGAGGAGTGTGCGTAAAGGTGATTTTGGGAGACACCCGCAGCCAATTCCTTCATCATCGTGTTCACTACTGAATAGATGTTAGTGAACCCACAGTGGCTGTCATCAGGTTTATATAAAAGTTACACAATCAGCTTATGTGACCTTCAAATGGAAATCATGATTAATGATTTTCTCAGTGATTATATAAGTGTGTGCTCCCATTGTTTGGATCACATTCTTACCTTTTTATTTGATTTTGATTTTACAAAAGTCTCTAAGGGGTCGTGTGCAGTGTCAGCAGCTTGTAACACGACCTGCCCTCTGTGTGCGTCCATCCTCCTCCTAAGAGAGAGAGAGCGAGAGAGAAAGAGAGAGCGAGAGAGAGAGAAAGAGAGAGAGCGAGAGAGAGAGAAAGAGAGAGAGAGAGAGAGAGAGAGAGGAGTTAGTGGAGTGACGGGGGTCTCTTCAGGTGTTTGGATCCAGTCATGGCCGGGAGCTTAGAGAAAGTACCGATCGCCTCTGCGGGACCGGAGGACCTGCAGCAGTTCATGCCCCCGGTGAGTTTTTACACAGCCCAGTACATTTCAATTATCCCGAGATAAAGTGATCTACACTGTAGGGAGCAGTGGGTACATCTGAGTTGGCCAGATGTACCTTATGGGTCAAAGTCTACAATTATTGAGCCGTCATGTGCTGGTCAAATGACATAAAATCGGTGCAACTTCACAGTTTTACAGAATCTATCTTAATAATCATGGGTGTAATTGGTTTATCAGTAGTTACTTTTGAATGATTTAGTCAGGCATCATGGTGAAATTGTACATATTTCATGGTTTGTTTGTTTTACCGTAGGCCTACTCCGCCGTTGCCGTGAAACCTGCAGCCACCGGCCGCCTCCTGAAGGCCGGCATCGCGGTGCTGATCGCCGGGGCTCTCCTGCTGCTTCTGGGGGCCGTGGGAGCGTTTTACTTCTGGAACAACAATGAAAAACATGTAAGATTTTTGTTTTACCTTTTCCTTATTTACACTGCAAATTCTGTTCGAACAAGGGACTGTATGCAAATAGCTTGAAACGAGAGGAAAAGGAAAAAGGGGAGGGTATTTTTTGTATACATTTTCTCTTAGCTGAAGATATAGTCTGACTTTTATGAGCTTGTTAAAAGTGAACTCTTTTCCTTTATTGATAATTTATGTCATCTTTGGAATATTGTTAAGAGCTACATTTCTCTTGCAACATGGTTTTTAAATGCACCTTTAAAGACAACATTTATGTTCCTCTATTAGGTTTTTTTATGAACATAACATAGGTGATGGACATTGGTTGTACTAAAGTTAACTCAAGTTATTTTGACATGTTGAGGAAGTTCCAGTTTGTTCTTATTCAAGTAGTTCAATGAGAAACTGTGGTCACTTTTCTTACAAACTGACCCCAATCATTTTTATACTCCCCCCGAGGAGCTTTAATCAAAACTTGAATCAAATGCAGTTTGATCTGCTCCATCTGTCCTTTGGTTCCACTGTAGTTTTGAAACTCTTCTAAAATAAGTGGCACTAACAAAAAGGAAAAGCTCTTTCACTCGAGCACAAGGAAAATAATGACACTTGATGGAAGAAATCATATAACAAGCTGCTTTGAAGAGGAAGCAACATTTGAGTCCTCAATGGTAAAATCTTTTAAAGTGCTTTGAAACAACTCGGTTCCAGAGGAAAGTTTCCAAAGACGGACTTGTTTTTACAGTGTGTGCAAACAGTATAATGTAAATGAAACACTCCAGGCCCACAGTGCAGTCTGCTTGGTGAATGGAAGCGTTGTGTGTGTGTATGCTGTGTGTGAGTTTGTGTGTGTGTGTGTTGAGGATCCTGCAGAGGATGGTGGAGTGGTGGTGGAGGGGGGCTCTTGGGTCCGGCTGATGCTCTGGGGGCAAGAGGTGGAGGAGATGAGAGGGAACATGAAGCTTTCTGAGTCTTTTTCTTCCAGTATGAAGTTAGAAAAATGCTATTAAGACATGATGAAAGGGCTCTGTCGAGGCTGAGCTGCACAGATTGTTTTCTTCTGAACAAGTTTGAAAGAAAGTGTCGTCTGAAAGAGAAAACCCTGAAAAGAGGAGAGGTGAATATGAGGAAGAGTCAGAGGGGGGGGACTGGAGGAGGAGGGTTGAAAGAGAGAAAGCGGGGGTGGGGTGGCTCTCATACCTTACATGCCAGTCTGAAACTCTGTGTGTGCTTGTGTGTGTGTGTGTGTAGGTCTACAACGTTCACTACAGCATGAGCATCAATGGAAAGGTGGAGGAGGGCACAATGGAGATCGACTCAGCCAACAACATGGAGAGATTCAGCACGGGGAGCGGCGCTGACGAGGCCATGGAGGTCCACGACTTTGAGATCGTGAGTCTGATCTGAAATAATCACAAACATCAGAAAAATGATGGTCTTAGAGGAGCAGGCATAAGACTGTTGATAACCATTACTTTACATATTTAGATATTAAGAGGTACTTGTTTAGCTACGTCAGTAGAGCAGGTGTCGGGATGTCATCCCCCACCCCCATAATGTTTCCTAATGACTCTCTTCAGCTGTCCTATCAACAAAGGCAACACTGGCTCAAAAAATAAAGAATTGTTAGTTATTGTAGCAAAATCAGCAGTGAAATAAAAAACGAAAACAGAGTAAAAAATGGCAAGTTCTCAAGCATATTGGGAACAATTTAACAACCAAGGCCTCGATATTGATTTTTTCACACATGAATTACTGTGTTATCAGCTGCATGGGCAGGTGTGAGCACATTACAATCAGAAGAAACACTCATTCTAAAATAACCAATCAGAATGCAAATTGGTACCAACATTTCAACAGTTCTTTAGGACATATGTTACCCCCCTCAGAATATCCCTGGTAATAGCAGCCATAGCTGTAATTAGAGAAGTTAAAACAGATCCATTTTCATTATTTATGATAAAGCAACACACCAGACACACACCAGTCCTCACCTCTACATCATGTCAGTGAAGAGTCCCAGATTTCATCCACAACATCACCTCTGTCATCAGGTTTCAATCTCTCCATGTTATGTATGTGCATGATCTCATTATGTCCCAACCAAAAATCACAAACACAGGTCAGGAGTTCATTTTCACACTTTTGGTTGAATCAACATTCCAAACTAAACAAACACCATTTGTCCCTATGTATTGGTAAAAACAAGGAGCTTGAGGCTTCAATGATCAGGCTCCCAGCACTACTAAAAAGCCTCAAAGAACATTCAAAAAGGCTTTTTTTCCCGACTGTATGATTGTAAAATGTGACCTTCAAATTAGTTTGAAAGCATCCAGTCTGCTGCTACTTTACCTCTTAATACTTTATTTCAAGGTTTGGCTTCGTCTTGACTTGCTGAATCATTTAAACAGATCAGAACCAGATTTAAAAAAATAAAATACCCTTTACAAAAAGTACCTTTAGGCAGTCAGCATTTAATTATCAAGCACTAAATAGCTTCAACACGACACCCACACAACTTACACTACACAGCTCAACTCCTCCTGTAAATCTAGAATACAGTACTCCTGGAGGATCAGAGAAACTGTCATCATTATGATTTTTACTTCACATGACAATGAGTTTGTGCTTATTTGTTCACATACTTTAATATATTAATGTGCTTTTGAATGTTTTCTATCAGCCATCTTTTAGCTAAGATCTACGGATGACTTTCAGCCTGAACCCTAACACACTGATCAGCTCTGTCAGAGCACGACGGAGCGTCACAGAAGAACTCTATCAGATCTGTTGAAACTCTAAAGAGCCTTGTGGGCAGATTGGCTCGCTGTAGCAGCCGATAAATTAAGAACAATTGAACATGAGATCTCCCTTTGGGCCAATCAGTGTCAGGATGCATGGTGCCCCCAATTTTCATTACATTCAGACGGGTGGTTTTTGATCTTTAATTAAAGAACCCCAATCAGGCCAATCAGACGAGTGAGGCAGGGATTTGGGGATTTCGTCTTTTTAGCTATTGAAATATTGACCTTTAGTCACACATGTACTCCTGAAGATTTCAGCCACAGACATTTCCCTGAGTTCTCCTTTTCCACAGGCCCCTCATTACATTGGGAGATGTTAAAAGGACACTGCTGTGGCACTGATAGCAGAGCGGTTATGACGTGAGCCCCATGTAAGGAGGCTATAGTCCTCATCACAGCACCCGTGGGTTTCAAATCTGACCTCAACCCTTTGCTGCATGCACTCTCTCTGCCCAACATTTCCTGTCTCTTCAACTGTCCTACCTAATAAAGGCAAAAATCAGCTAAAGAAAAAAAAAAGAAAGTTTTTTGAAAGGACACTGCTGAAGTAACGGTGGAAGATGGCAGACAAACAACAAAGTTGTATGCTAAGATGACAGTTTCTGCCTTTACATCAATGTTGCTTAAATCAGACGTATCAAAAAATAGTGGTAAATAAAAGGTGAGCAGGAAGAAGTATGAAGCAACCATTCACATGATGTAAACATCATCACCGCGCCCGCTCAAGGTGGATTTGACTGAGTATTATCCGGTGCATACACACATCCGCTCACCCTGGCTTCTTGCGGAAATGTTATTGGGAGGCTGACAGGAAAATGTTTGTATAAAACTGGGGTGAAAAATGTAGCAGGTTGCTTTAGCACATGCTGCTCAACTCTAAAATGTTGTGATATTTTCAGGAGTAGAGTTCATGTGTGAAAATCCTTTTGAGAGTAATCACATTGCTAAAATGCAGCACTGCCTGTTACATGTGACAGAATAAGCAGAGAGATTACATTAAATTTACGCATGTATTACTTCAAACCAACTTGACTGGTGATGAAGAGTTTTAACTTCCAGCTCTCTGTTTGTCCTATCCCCCTCTCCAGGGGATCACAGGGATCCGGTTTGCAGGAGGAGAGAAGTGCTACATTAAGACGCAGGTGAAGGCCCGTCTGCCTGACGTGGAGGCCCTCAACAAGGACTCCATGACATTCGACTTGGTGGGTTCATCCTGTTCGTCTTAAATGTCTTAAGAAAGCAGGTTTACCTCAAGCTGGAATTTACTTTTCAGGGCGTTCATCAATAGCCTCTTTATACTGCAGGAACTTGAGACGCTCCAGCACTTTCCAATGAACCGTGTTATATATAACCGGAACATTTAAAGAGACAGTGTTTGACATTTTTGGGGAAATCTGCTTCAAAAACATAATTTATAAGAATTAGATGATAATAATGATGCTAAATTCACATCTGTGTGGTCAATATAAAGTTACTGTTAGCAGCTTAGCTTAGCATTTACACTGGACAGGTATGTGGACACATACAAGGGATTTGACTCCAGTGTATTTTGCTCTGTATGTACAAGCCTTTAAAATGAAATAGGAAACTATCAAACCAATATATGCAAGTCTACATAAGACAATGTGCAATGTTAATGAGTGAAGATGATGAATTTAAGATTACAATAAGTTACATAATTATTTAACCGACTGGCTACTTTACACGAGGTAGATGACTGTGTTTATATTAAAACAGTGTGCACTCATTGATGACAGATGAGGGAATGATTCGTGTTAAAATATCACCGACTCCTTAAGGAAGCTCATTCAGCTCTTGTTCTTCCTTGTGTATTCAGTATCTACAAACTAGGAGGTCCAGCTCACTTAAATGTCCTAGTTTTTCAATTTCCACTCAGCTGTGCACATCATGATCCATTATTTCTCCACTATCTTGTATTATCTTTCCATTATGTCCCTGTACTTGCTGTGTGATATTGTTATTGCTGCCATATAATGAGCAACTGCGTGTTTAACGGCTTCATTTCTAACCAGTGACTGTATCTCCCTGAGAACATTGTCCCCCATCCAAAATACTCATACGTGCTCAGATATATCGGCCAGTACAGTCGCAGGTAGTTAAATGGTCAACAACGGCAC